CGACAAAAAAGCATTTTTTGCTACAAAAGAACAACAAAAAAATTGTACGCAAAAGTGCACCATTTGTCTGTACATTCGTGTGTCCGTATGCCCTATGTTTGCATGTTGGGACATCTGTCAATAGAGAACATTCTCTCCATCCTTTGCCCTCAGAGCAACCATCATAAGCTACAACTCGCAGAAACGTTATATGCATATATGTATGCATATTTTCTGCATGTCTGCATATCTCACCACTACGCATAATCGGTTCAACTCCTTGGGAGCATAACCGCTTATCCTCGAGACACGCGTTGTTTGTATTTCTCCTCCATTCATACAATTGTAGCGCTATTTTCAACTCCGACGAGTGGTTGTCTCCATTTCCTTGAGCACTGCACAATTTGGAAAGCTCTAGAGCGATTTAATTTATGGCTTTATTTTTTCATTTGCTTCGTTTTTTTTTAATTTTTGTACCCTTTTTTGTGTTTCCCCCAATTTGCAAAAATGATCAAGAAGTACATTGCTGTTATATCCGCTAACCTACTGCTAAAAATTGCATTTAATTCGAGCCTATTTGGTGCGCATGCCTTGACCACACGAACATACGGGGAACCATCAAATGCAGGGGAAAAAATTATTTTGGTTAACAATATCGAACCCCCAGAACATGATTCAATCCAACCAGGTGACTACATAGAGATACAAGAAGACAGTGACGGTGTAAATGTAGCAAATGAGAAGTATGAGAATGAACAAGATGTAGAACTTCAAAGCTTAGATAAAAGTATAAGAATCGAGGAACAACGGGGAATACAAAAGGAAGAAGAAAAAGAAATAGAACTGGAAAAAGAGAAAGAGAACGACCATGACCACTCTGATAAAGATGAAGAAAACCACTCTGATGGCGAAGACAATGATGACAAATTCAGTGGTGAATATATAGTACAGGAAGTGAACGAAAATGGAATAGTTATACAGGAAAATATAAACAGCATTGACGAATTGGAAGATTTACTTGACTTCTATAGATCTCTTTATTCAATTTTGTTCGTAGAATTTGAGACAACAAAAACGTACTTAAATAAAATTATCAACTGCGCCACGGATGAACAAAAAAATGAACTCTTAGAGGACCACATTGGTATTTTACAAGAAATGTATGAAAATTACAAAAAAAGTGATAACTCTGGATTACCCTCTGAGCTACGAGATTCCATGGCACTTCGAATAAGTGATCGCCTTAGAGATTTCTGCTTTACCGAATCCATAACAGATTCGTACATGGAAACATTAAAGTCTATCTTCGCACTAGAATTAGAAGTTTTCAAAGGTCTCTTTTGTTATGTAAAAGATAAAAGCACCTATAATGAAAAAAAGACAGTTATAAACGACTTAGAATTAATAAGATTTTATCACGAAGAATTACTTACGGAAAATGGCTTGTACCTAACAGATGAACAGCTAGACAATGCCGCAATGAGAGTATCCAACTTTGTCAATGACATGTATTTTCTGTGCTTCTCAAATTATGAAGATATGACAATATTCCGACAAATACGGGATGAAGCCATCAGATACTTCGACCTTTGAAAATCACGTTTTGAAACTTCTTTTTCCTAGGAATTGCTTAACTTTTTTCATAATAAAGATAAACAAGATCCCCTAGAAGAGCGCATTATGAGAATATAACATACCCTGTACACATTGACATCTATGTGCATACCCGTTTGTACATAGTTTCCCGATTCTTTGACTGCTTTTCTTTGGTTATTCTTGGAGACTTTCCTCACTTTCCTGGTGTTATCAATTATCGAAGGTGAAGAATACTAGCGAGGGAAGTTTCGTAAAATGTTACTATTATCTCGCCGCACAACCATCATCAGGGCCTTCCCATTCTTATTTTTGTTTTTCTCCCCAAATAAGAAAAAAGAGAGAAATTCCCCGAATCCGCAAATTGCTAAAATAAGATAATAATTCCCCTTTTGTTTTACGTTCACAAATGTATAAATGTAAGATGAAATGAAAGAGGACAAAAAGGAATAGCATAAAATGAAGGGACATTTCCATAAGCGAGGCTGCTGAAAAGTTCCATCTTTTTAACTTTATAAATTTAAAGTTGTCTACATCCACCTCTTAACCCACGAAAGAGGATAAGAAAAGGGAAGAGAAAACTGTAAGAATGCTTCCTTATTCCTCCTGTCTTTTATGCAAAAAATAAAATATTCTTTTTTTTTTGTTTTCATTTCCCCCCCTTCTTCATTAAATACATTTTTTTGTTTATTTTAAGATGAACTTACGGCAACCATTAAATTATATGTAAAACAAACTACTTAGTCTTCTTTAATTTATATTTAATTAATGGTTGCTTTAAAACTTACCACCTATCCGTCCAGCTATGACTCTCCCATATACTAAGAATTACTGTCAGATAAATGATAACAAAATGAACGTTTTAAAAAAAAAAACTGTGCCCAAATTCCACAGTCCAAAGTTGATAATGTAGACGAAAGAAATCATGTCCCTGAGACCAAAAGATCCCTTGCAACCCAACGGGGAGGACGTTTGTGCCGTCTAAATAGAAACGACATGTTTTTAAACCAACACTGTTGGAAGTGACCTCTTCCTATTTGGCAATGTACATGTTCCATTGTGTCGGTTTTGCCTCAAAGGGGCATTTGCCATTACATGTGCATAGGGGTTACGTGTACCCGTTTTAGGTATCTACTTGAACGGACAACTGGTGTTGATATTCTCCACCCTTCTGCCCCGGATTTAACGGGGGTCATATTTCTCAAGCCCTATATTGGTTAACTATGTGCAGTTTTCCCCTAGGGAGAAAACCATTACGCTTGGCTCTGCACCCTGTGGAAGTGAATGCCTTATATACATTATCTTAATCCTCTCTGTACATCGGTCCTAAATATAAAATACTGTATTTCTTTTTTTTTTCTTATCGTGTGCAAAATGAAAATATGTGTAATGGTTCTTATGTTGTTTTACCTCTTTTACCTGTTCTTTTTTTTAAAATAAATTGTGGAATTATTGCCTTCCCCTTTTTAATGCTACCCAAGAGGCCACGAGTAATGTTGTTCCCCTCCCGTACGGTCTTCATCATTTCGATTTTTTCGCAAATTTAGAGCGTTCACGAAATTAAGTTACCCTTTTTTAAGAAAAAAATACAGAGCTTATATACAACTTGAAATATTTATTTTTTAAATTAACTGTCCAAATCGAACATAGTACGTACTCTTCCTTTTTAAAGAGCGCCTAACGAATTAACCACTTTCAGAAAGAAAGAAAAAGAAAAAATTAACACCAATATTAAAAGAAGGAAGTTTTCGTAGCAGCACAGTTTTAACAATCAATTTGTTGATTATTCATCTTTTGTACCACAATACCGTGTGTTCATTTAACCGTACACAAACTTCCTATTTTCATTTTATGCTGCCGTTTCACAAAGATATTTATATTAAGATAGAACATTACAAACACTTCTTTGTACCCCATGTGTCTTTGTAAATATCCCCCTTCAGAAAGTTAACACATTAACGTTGGTTGGTTTACACGTCAAAGGGGAGAGAAAAAATAAAACTATAAGGATGTAGAACCCTTTTTGACTTTTCCGTAACGCTATGTCCCCCTTGGCTATTATCTCTTTAAGTGCAATAATAATTATATACAGAAGAATGTCTACACGTGAAAAAGAAATTAACTCCAAATTTCTCGGCGAAAATGTAATGAAAAGATGTCGTCACGATAAATCGCCATCTCATAAACGGAATGGAAAGAAAAGGTGAGGCATTTTTTCCCCATGGAACGATTTAAAAACTGACATCCTACTGAATTTTTTTCCCTATGTTAATCTTTCCCTCATACAAGGTACCGCAATTCGTAAAGGTATCCATTAACATTGATATGATCCCGCACTTTGTACACTATTCGCTTTATACTTGTATGGCACACAGCAAAGCTGTACATACAGGGAAACGCGCTTTAGGAAAAAATTTTATCAAGGAATTCTGTATGTATATTAAAAGCACATTGGTGCAGGTACATACATGTACACATTTAACAATATGTTGCGTTAAAACTGGCTTAAGCCGGAAAATGAAACGTAAGAAAATTCCGCCAGCTTAAACAATAACTTAATCCTACGTTGTGAACTTTTTTATGGTTAACATGAACCCCATTGGGTATTAAAAAAGTGTAGAGCACCCAAAAAAAAATGTAAAAAATGGAGCTATACGTATATATAAGCTATCCCATATACCTTTTGCTTCATATGCTGGAAGAGTATCTAATGCCTATGGGATTATATACATCACTCCTATGCACTGAATGGTGAATGGAAGGTTTTATAATGCCAATGGAGGAATGTTACTAATGTGATGCGGGGATTGGGTGGTCCTTATGTGACTACATATATAGTATAGTATCACATATATGCTATATACTATACCCCGTGGGGGGGGGATGGGTAAACTTTGAGGCCTTTCACCTTCACGTTTTCATAGGTCAGCGAATTTCTCCCTTTGAAATAAAGTAAAAACTCATGATGGGATTATTTATTTGAAGGTATAGAAAATAAGGTAATTGCAGCTACCATTGAACTCCTTCTTCACAGCTTATTAACCCTTTAAATAATAATTATTCGGCTCATTTTTCATGTTAATGTTGATGATGCATCTAGTATAATTAAATGCTTGGAGAAATGTGGAGTTGGGGGGTACCCATCCCTCACCCCCATTTTTATTTCATCAAACTTGCTACAATTTTCTGAGCAATCCCTCACTGACTATATATTATTTCCTATTTTAAATAGTTACTTACAAATGTTTGATGTGCCTTTTTTTTTTTCTTTTTTTTACTCCTCTCTATTGCAAAGAAGAAGGGCCTCTATTTTTTTCTTTTTTTATGCTATATATGAGAAAAAATAAAAATTGTGTTGGTGACTAACCAGAAAGGTACTCACACCCCTGGAACACCCCCTTAAAAAGTTATTGCGCAAAAGGAAGTTTTATAATTAAATTTTTCCTGTAAAGCAGAGGGGGTCGGTAACTTTATATTAATAACACATTGCCATCATTAATTCCTTAAAATGAGGAAGGGAGAGAAAGGGTCAGCGCTCCGCTGTTTTTGTAAGGGGCACGCCGTACTCTATTCGCGTACTACTACTACTACTACCATTACTAATGCTCCCTCCCCCCCACTTACCCATATGAACGTATAAATAATATATTATATATATAATTATAGCTCTTTGTATTCAAATTAGTTATATATAGATTAAGCGCTGGAGAAAAAGCACGCACTATCCCTCCTCCTCAGTGCTGTCGCTTTTCAACAAAGTTAGCACCTCGTTTCCTTCACTTTTTGGTTATAGTTCACGCTTTTCATATTATTTCATCGGTATAAACTCTCAAAAAACCCGCGCGCTAAATTTTTACATGTGTATAGGTTAACTTGCTAATCGTTATTCTGTACATTTTTACATAAAACAGCCTAACTTTAAAGAAGAAAAATTATTTAAAAAAAAAACAAACAAAAAGAAAGCCGCTTTTTTAACGGTGCATCCATAACTAACTGTCGCGTTTATTTTTTCTAACTGGTTTACTCGCTACTCCACAAAAGTTTTTTCATTAATTCCAAAATGAACATATCAGTGAGAAGGGGTTTATGAAAAGTAAAAAGTTAGCGTAGAAGCACGCATTCTAAACATTGCTGCAGTATAAATATCTAACTGTCGTTAATGCGCTAAAACTTTACATGCAAATAAAAAAAAAATTCAAGAAAGGTTATATGGGGTGGTTTGTTAAAATGCACAAACTTTTGGGAAGTGCGCATGAAAAAAAAATTTAGAGAAGTAAAAATTAAAAAAAGAAGCCACTAGTTTTCGCCTTAAAAAAAACACAAAAGGAAAGTTTTTAACCCCTTGAAAATATATCATATATAAATCGGTTCACCAAAAAAGAGCTTTTTTTAATTAAAAAAAATAGATAATGGATGGAAACCTGCGTTTATAGCCCCTTTTTTAACGCAAAATTAATAAAATTAAAACGTTTCTAGATAACTTTTTATAGATAAATAAGATAACTTTTTTTTTTTTGATTAAAAAAAATTATCAATCAATACTCTTTTAGTTAGCCAAAAATCCTAATCGCACCTAAAATTTTTATAAAAACTATTAAATTTATATAAAATTTTATAAAAAAATTAAAATAAATTTAATCAAAAAATATATTAATTTTTTTTTTAAAATATTTTTCAAAAATTTTTATAAATTTTCTATTCAAAAAAAAATTAAACTTAATTTTTATACCTCGTATAAATAAAAATTAGATTTATCTAATATTTTAACATTTAACAAAAGCACCTAAACTTTTATAACGTTTATCCCTAAATAACGAAAAATCCTATTTTGTTTTTTTTTCAACTCTATTCCTTTTACGACTTTTTACAGATTTTATTTTTATAATTCATCGCAATCTCCTTTATCCAAAATGAAAATCACTAAAGTATTATACCTCATTGCTGCTTTGTTGGCAGTCAACTTCATTGCTCCAAGCTTCTACAATAATGTTGTAGCAGGAAAGAAAGTTTCCCCTGGATACAAAAAATTAACCGATGCTGAAAGGAAAAAAAGAAACCAAAAGATCATGATGATCTCCTCCATTGCTTCTGGTATAGCCGTACTCCTCGGTACTGCCTTAGGCTTAGGTATCCACTACAAAAACAAACAGGGTAACAAAAAGGGAACCCCAGGCCTCAAGAAAGAGCCATTACTTGGTGGCTTAAACCAGCAGAAGCCACCTACAACTACCAGAACCTAAATGGGGAATAATAAACCTTAAATCAAAAGAAAACCAGATTAACCAGAAAGGCCACACAAAGAAGCGCTTTTGTGAGCCTTATATTTTCGAAGACCATGGAGCAGGAACCTAAACAAAAGATTGAAGCCACTTGAGAAAATTGTACGCCTATATATATATATATGTACAATTTACGTACATGTGTATATATGTGGTGTGAAATAATGACAGCACTTCATGGAGGCAGATCTTTTACCCTACCACTTGAGCTGACAAGAAAAAATGGAGAAGAGTATCCCCGGAACAAAAACAGGAAAAGAGCCGAGCCAAGCCCCATTGTTCATGGACTTATATTTTTCAAGAGAAAGCTTTAAGCGTGTTTAATAATTTTACGATAATAGAAAAATTAAAGAGCGACATATATATATATTATATATATGTAACTTTTTAGCATGTTTTTCTTTTTATCTGTTTCTCACCTTTTAGCAAAAAAAAAAAAAGAAAAAAAAGTCATAAAAAAAGAGTAAATTTTACCTTTTATGAAATGAGGACTTATAATAAGTTCGTAGAGTTGCGTAGAATAATATATATATTATATATGTGCCTATATATGTGCCTATATGTGTACCTATATATGTATGTATACCTATATATATCTTATATTCTAACCATTTTATATACGCATTAATTATTTATCTATCTCCATATAATAAATCCTTACAACTTTAGAACCACAGAACCATAGCATAAGAATAGGATTTTTCTTTTTTTTTATTATATCTGTATATTTATAACTAATATATATGCCTCTTTTTATTCTTTTATATTTACCAAAAAAAAAAAAATATATAATCGTGTACATTTTTCTTATATGGATTATGAGAGATTATATATATATTTTTATATATTTTTTTAACCAGTTAAGTTCTTTCAAGTAGTTTTATTTACTAACCGTGAGACAATGGAACTGTATTTTTATATTTAAAATATTTTAAATTGTGGAAATTCATAGACTAGATAAAAAAGAACTACTGTATATGATATATAGGGGCTCATAAATAGTACAAACAAAACCAAAGGAATAATGCGTACCAATATATACACTGTCCTTATCCAATGGTTTAGTTGAACCAGCGACCCACAACAACGCTGCGTGTATCTTATTAGCGTCTTACTGTTCTCAACTGTGCTGTACTGCACTGTGTAGTGTTACCGGCCGCCTTAATCTTAGTCCATTAAATGTGTAACCACCCTTTTCTTTTGGAAAAAAGGCAGGAAGCACATTTGGGAGTTCTCTTTATCTCTCCTACAAGATAGGTGAATCTTAAAGAAGGTAGTTAAATTACATTTAACTCTGCAGGCGAAGAACATACTGGCGCGATGGAGCCTCTTCGTTGTAGATATTGAGTCGGGAAGGTAACATTTTGTTTTGAGTCCGTCGTGTTAGATGATATACTCATCTAAGACGAATGAGCAACCACTTCTTATCTTTACAATTCATTTCACCCTTCTTCCTGTTGCTTAAAATGTTCATACTACAACAGAGAAAAACAACACACCACCTCCCCCATGCGTCACACATGATAGCGATTTTGTTAAATGGCAAACGAATGAATAAGAAATGTTAAGGCGCTAATAGGGTGTGTTCTACTCTCGGCCATGGCATGGAAATAATATATTTGCATGTAGAGGAAAACGCACCATAAAGGGTAGGATATTTCCCTTACTTCCCATGACATGGTAAATATTACCCCAAGTGTGTACTTACACGAAACACACAGTTCCTTTCCTCGTTTAAGCTGTCGAAGCCCGCCGACGTGGGCCTCCCAACTCGGCAGCTGCTTGGAAGACGTTTTTTGTCACCCTTTAAAAGTGCGTACTAAAATGAGAACTTCTCCGGTCATGATGGGCACGCGTACATACACCTGGGGAGGGGGAATCGCCCTGCGCAGCGGCCTGCACAGCTACTGGTATACCTCTGTCGATACGGCTCCCTGCCCTTGGCTGACGGGCGATAAAGTGGAAAAGAGTCCGCATGGTGTAGATATCTTTGCCTCGTAGTCAACCACCTACTTTGGGAGGTTAGCAAGTACAAATGTGAATTTACTAACCTTTCGACGCTCACACACAATGTAGTTCTGTGCTAACTCCGTTTTACCAGCGCTTTGTTCCTCCCTACCACGTTCACACAAGGACATAATACATATGTATTACAACCCATTACGCCTTCCCCATTAGGGGCTTACATTCCTACCTCCCCTTTTCACTTTTTCATTAAAGTTTTAAAATTAGAAATGGTAATACTAAAAAAGAAAAATGGAACGAAACTGTACTTACAATTTTAAGAACTCGTGTTATTTTTTTTCTTCTTTCTCCCTCCAATTCTTTAACCTTTGGTCAAGAATTACCAATCTAAGATATTTCCCCATGAAAGCATCGTGGCGTTATCCCGCTGGAGTGTTAAATCTGCTTCTAAAATCATGTGACATGTAGAACTTGTGTGGAATAGGGCCCTTAGCTTCCCTAAAAATGCGCTCATTTTATTTTCGAAGGAATAGTTCAGACTGGGGAAAATAGAGGTACTAGGTATAAGGGCCCACGTTGTTGACTGTAGGCAAAAATATGCACACGTGTGTGGGGAAGGTGCACGCCCTTCTGTTGGAACCCATCTCCGTGTTGATCTCTGCCGCTACCTGTGTCGGTATCAAAACGTACATAGGGAATACCTTCACCAAAGGGGGAGGTTTCCCGCGAGAATCGCTGTCCTTGCATAAGAACACAAATTTTGCAGAAAAAAAAAAAAAAAAAACGCACAAAATTTGTAGCTAAATTATCCCCCTTGCAACTTATCAACAGGAACGTGGCGATAAAACCATTCCACCAATCTACTAATAGCAACACAGCTGTCTTGGTTTTCAAAATAACCAGTGTATCCGTTGCATTCAATGATAGGCCCCCACGATTTTTTTTTTTTTTTTTCTAATGTGCTTAAAAGAATTAAGGTAACGCACTTTTAGACAAAAGAAGCAACTGATCTATTTAGGTGAAACCTCTCCGAAATGTTTGGAATGAAAAAACAGGGACACATATCCCTATCCTACGCCTCAACTTTAGGTAACTAAACAAGAAATGCTTTATTTTTAATACAATGCACCCACACACATGTGACACAGATCAATTCATGACATAAATCCTTGGGAGGATCAGTTTCATTTTGCCTTCTTATCACATAGAAAAAGGAGCTCTACAAAATGAAGCAGATTGGTATTCTAAATATGTTTTCTTCTTCTTTCTACGAATTCCACTTATTTTATGTAGAATCGTATCATCAAAATGCAAATGGCCGAGGCTACCATATTGGCAGGACCCCACCGGGAAGAATCATCATACGTATATGTGTGCACCTTTCTATTCTCAAACGCGACCAATTAATTTCCCTGTCCATGGGCAGTTAAAACTGGAGAAAGTCACATGAAGGGGAAGTGCAGGAATACTTCAATACGTATGCGATCTTATGCACCATTAGATCAGTAACAAAAACACACTGTTCTTATTAAACGGGGTGCGCATACATAAAACAAAAAGATCTATATATCTATACCGCTTTGCACACAGTGCTTACAAAAAAAAAAAAGAAAAAGTGGTTACCTTTAACAAATAAAAGCAAATTATCGACAAAAAAAAAAACAAAAAAAGTAGGACAAACTTGTTCAAAAATGGTTGTTCCACCACCCCCTATTCTCATCCACGACAACATATCCATTTGCATATTGGAAAATGTAAAACGAAAGAGAAGGACAAACTGTATATCTTTGCCGGATTAAAAAAAAAAAAAAATTTTCCCTTTGCGACATTAAATTTTGCACTCTCATAATGCAAGAAATTTCGAATCAGAGAAATTTACGCTTTTGTTCACAGTTCCTATGGGGTTATACTTCAATGAGAAAATATCACTGTACTCGTTAATTTCTAAAAAGGCATGACCCGCTTCAACAGATACACAGCAATTGGCAAGCATGAAGGTTTGGTCCTCCTAAAAATAGAAGTGGAAAAAGAATGCAGACTAAATTTATGGAATAGTAAGACATGTGTGAGTCTACAAAGACGCATGCGCGGCACCTTTCAATGTTACACATTTCGTGTGCTTCTTTCTGTCTTTTCATTTTCTTCTTTCTCTGGACCTGGCAGAACTTCTCATGCTTCATTTCCAGCTTCACGTAAATGCACCCGGTTTCATCTCCCGCCAAAACGTACAAGTAATCCTCTGCGTCAGGGAAAAGGAAAAAAAAAAGGGGGGAAGTGAATTTATAGAAACAGGTGGTGCTTACAGGTGTATGTACCAGAGGCAACGTAATTATGCGCCGCACTCATGCCCTTCCGTAACGCATGCACACATCCGCTGTGCATTTGTCCCTACCGCTGGAGCGAAACATACGCACTGCCTTCAGAACTATGTTAAAAAGACGCAAAAATGGTCTCAAATCTTTGCACTTTAAAAAATCTAGTGGTGGTAGCTCCTTTACGGCCTTCAAATATTTCAAACTGCCCGAATCATATTCAAAAGGTTTTTCACTTATTATGCGGGATTTTTTAATTTTTTTTTTTTTTTTCTTCTTCTCCTTTTTATCATTCAAATTAGCTGCTTCGAAAATTTCCTCATCTGTTAACCCTGTCATCGCATCCGTCCCATTCTCCTTGATCATCTTTCCATGGCAGTGCACCTTTTGAGCTGCTTCCTTTTCGTAAAATTCATTCCATATTTGCATGCAGATTTCCGGCTCCTTAACCGTTTCGACGCACTCAGTTTGTTTATCTTCCTCCCATCTGTTTTTTTCCTCTATATCGTTGGCACGAACTGGGTTAGTGTCTCTACCGGTGGTGGGGAGCATGTCTCTTTTATGTTGATCAAAAAGAAAATTTTTTTGCATCATATTTGAGGGCACACATAATAAACTCTCTAATTTATTTTCCGTCCCATTATCTTGTTCCTGCACAAATTGCTCATTTGTAATCTTTGGAAGAAGAATGGAATTCAATTCTTCACCCTCCTTTATGAGATTCTCTCCTAATATATCTTCTGCATCATCATCTGGGTTATCTTCTAGGCATTTGCTATCCTCATCTAATTCGTGATCATTACCTGAATCTTCTTCCTCTTTGTGCGGGTAAAACTTCTTTTTAGTTTGGCCAACCAATTCGACTGTTTTTATTTCTTCCATTTCTTTGTCACTAAAATGGCTGTCTCCCTTTGATTCATTCATTTCTTCGATGTTAACCTGTTCCCCTTTGCCACCTTCCTCTTCCTCCCTTTGCACTGCAACTCTTTCTGTGTCTTCTCCTGTTTCATACAAATTTCCCCCCACCTCGTTCTTCCCACTGAACTCGTCTAACCCTATGTATGTGCTAATTTTGGCCGATTCGTTGGAATTCCCACTTTTTAAATCCACTGTTTCGAATGAAAAAACATCATGCAGCGTTTTCCTCTTGCTTTCTTCCGCGGCTTCTTCTGTTTCGTAGGTTTCTTTTCTATCGAAGAAATTCCTCTCCTTTGCGCTCGCTCCTCCGTCGTCTTCCACCACGTCCAGCAGGTTCATCATGTCCAGCATGTTCACCACCTCCACCGTTTGCTTATTTTCAAGGAGGGATGCGCTCTCCTCATTTTCCACTTCCACTACTCTCACCGACTGCTCACTTTGAAAAAGCGAAAAATCATCCTCACCGCCCTGCACAGCCACCTCCACAAGAAGCACCTCCTCACCCACAGATACAGCTTTCCTTTCATCGCTCTTTTCTAGGTTCACTGTTTCGATCTTTTCCTTATTTTCAAAAAAAAATGATTCCTCTCCATGATTCTCCGAAATGGAAGCAACTTCATACTGTTCATCGTCACGACATAAAAAAACATCAGACGACTTTTTTACATTATCCATTTCGAAATTCGTCCTTTGGAAGGTATTTATCTGCATCAATTTTTTTTCGTCCCATTTTTCGGTTATACCACTTTGTCCTACTTCACAGGCTTGTTTTTCATCACACAGGTTTTTGCTTCGAACTTCTTTACCATTTTCACCTACCACCTTTGGTTGTACCGCCCCTCTCTCGCTATCTACGCGAGAAGGATTCTCAATTGGGCGGTTCCAATTCTGTGTTTCCAATTCTTCGCTTATCTTCTCTAACTTTTTATTATCAAAGCAGGCGTCCCTATCTTCCTCTTCTTGGCCATTGATATTAGCTGGCCCGGGGAATTCATATGAACAGAAATTCAATTTGAATTTGTTTTCACTACTTTTGGGGCAAATGTGTATGTCCACGGGGCAGAAATTGCTCTTGCCATTGTCGGCATGGCTATAGTCACCACTACGTGGACCTTCACGGGGAGCAGCTTGCCACTTTTGGGGGAAGTGCACTCCTTGGAAAAAATTACACTCAGATTCTTCGTCATCAGGCATTATTGGGTCGAACATATGGAGCTCATTCGTGGTGTCCTTTTCGGCTTCATTTGGGTTGTTCACCTCTGCCCCCTTTTCAACCCGGTCTTGGCCAACCCCTCTGATACGACTCATCGTGTTCCGGGTCTCTCCCCTGGATTCCTTCTCATATGACACATCGATGTCTTCAATTATCCCCAATGGGCATTCCTCTTCCCCCTCACTAGCAATAGGTTCCCCCTCCAACAGTGTATGCAACACAGATTCTTCTTTAAAAATGCCTTCCAGATTTCTTTCCCTCTCTTGGATGTGCGTGGAAACATTGGCCTCAAATTGTATGCCTCCTTCATTTTCCTCTTCGCATTCTTCCCCCTTATTAAAATATCTTGTCAAATTTCCGTGGGATATAAATTCCACAAATGAGGCCATTTCCCCCCTAGGTGAACATCCGTTCATCACTGTTTGGTCAAAATTGCCACTTTCCATTTGAGCCCTGGGATGTAAGGATAGATTTATCTTCACATGATCGGAGCTATTATCAAATAGGTAACCATTTTCAAAAGGGTATTCCTTGTGTTGTTCATTAGTGGAATCTTTTATTTGCGCTTCATCGTTTGAGTTTTGCAAGTGTTCCTTTTCCCCCTTCCATTCAGTAGCACAGCTAACTGCAAACGTGAAGGAGGAAAAATTGTCTTGGTCTATTTTGAAAAACTCGTCACCGTCTTCGTCAAATTCTTCACACAGGGGACCTCCGTGTTGGGCATTTTCATTTGGCTGATCAGTTTTGGACCCATTTTGGTGATGTTCACTTGGCTGATCGAGGTGTGTGCCAACTTGGCCTTCCAGGGGAGCCATCGCTCCCCAAGTGGGGTTGCCATCCCACCAAGTGTCCCCCCCCTGTCTACTAAACTCGGAAGCAGAACATCTTGCGCTCATTTTCTCACCTATTAAGAAAATGTCGCTTCCTTCTTCCACTCCGTTCTCATGCCTTTCATTTTCCATTATGACTTCCCTACTTCGTTCATTTTCCTCCAGGGCACAGAATAAATCGTCCTCCTCTGCCTTGTTGTCCCTTTCACTGCTTCTCCCTCTGGTGACATTCTCAGAAGCTGGAAGAGTTGCATCTCTCCCGGCATCTACGATGTTGTCCTTTTTTTCTTCATGACTTCTCGTCGATGCGGAAGTGAATTTATTGTACAAGTAAAACATTATTTCAAAGGAGAAATTACATGGAGGCTCAGAAAAATAAAACAAAAAGAATTAAAATCTTCCTGCATCTCTTTAATGGGTATCTTTTCACCTGGCATTTTTTTTTCCAGTAACTATTGGATCTTATGTAACTCCATTTTTGCTGCTGTAAAAATGTATATTTCACATTCTGCAAAATGGGAAACAAAACAACTTGCACGAAAAGATTAATTGGCACAAAAGAAGGAAAGAAAAAATGGACCCTTTAAAAAAAAGAAACAAAATGAATGACGACAATGTAGTGGAAGATCAAAGTCAAAACGCTTTCAAGCTTTTTTTTTTCGGAGATATTTCACAATTTTGCTATTTTTCTGCATATTTGAGGGGATAAAAAAAAATAAAAAAAAAAAAAGAGGATCGTATACTCGTTTTATTTATTCCTTTATTATTTTATCGTTTTATTTTATTTTTTTTTATTGCTTTCTGATATTTTCCCCCTTTCTCGTTTAAAAAAACAAATGAAGAACGTCAAATTTTAGTCTACAAAATTTCCAGTGTTCACTATTTGTTTGAAGAAAGCGAGGGCGTGGAAAAAAATCCGTTTACACTTTTTTCAAGGTTTTTATTTTTTCACTCCCTTTCAGGCATGTTATGCCAAAATGATCAGGCCAAGCTGATTTTATATTAATAAACCTAATTTTGAAGCTGCGATTCAACGTTGCGATTCAATGTATGTATAATACACGCGGACATATGTGGCAGATGCGTGCCTACCCCCCTTGTGCCCCCCCCACACCCCACACCTGAGTTAAGAATGCAATATTAGGGCATCTCGCAACCGTCGAGCCTACGCAGCGTACGTGCCGACGCGGTGGGAGCTACCCTCTTTGGGTTTATACGCCGTGTGCATACGCCCCAAACGCGAGCGCATCCACGCAGTTGCTCACCCACGCGTGTCCGTCCTAAACCGGCAAACTTGTCTGAATCCTCATTTCTCCACCTGTGACGCACCCTCCGAAGGATGGTCATCCTGAGCAAGAAAAGAAACATTAAAGGGTTCCTGAATTACTGCAGAACAAAATGCCTCAGGTCGCTACGAACCAACAAAAATGATGACCCACTTAAAGACGTCCTTCCGTGGAAAAGGAAGGGCTTCGATTTGGACCAGGGAAAAGGCTCAAACCTCTTCGTGGAATTAGTAAAATCGTCTCTCCTAAAATTAACGGGGAAATACATAGGAAATAAAATATCTTGGGACATGAACAAAATGAGATTTGACACATCCGGAAGTAGCAACACAAAATACTCAGAAAACGTGTATAAAGAAATTTTACTATGTATGAATGTGCTGGAGTACCAAGACGAGCAAGTAGAGAAAGAGTTAACATCCTTACAGGATTATTTTAAGAACATAAAGGGTGGAATAGATCCATATGTACTTTGTGAAAATAAAATAAAAAATATCGATGAATACATTTACAACATGATCAAAACGGATTACAACAATCTGGATGAATTTATAACATATATATACCTCTATCAGGGGAAAAAATTTCGAGTCATTTTAAGCATTCTGTTGAAGAACATACTATCTTATGTGGACAATGTGTCTTCAAAAAATAGTTTTAAATTTCGAAACATCCAACGGAACTATTCCAGATCTGTGAAAATTGCCAAGTCGGCAAACAATATTATTGCCAAAAAAAAAATAGCCATGATGAACTCTGCAAGTAATAATATTTCCGAAAAGAAAATAGGGGAAAATCAGTGCAGAATTATTGCCGCGTCAGAAATTATTCACATGGGATCTCTCCTACATGATGATGTAATTGATGACGCAAATAACAGAAGGGGGGCTCCTGCATTACATAGAAAGTATGGAAATAAAATATCCATACTTTCTGGAGATTTCCTACTCGCGCGTGCCAGTTCGGTCTTTGCAGGCACGGGGTGCCCCCAAATATGCAGACGATTTGCATACGTCGTGGAGAGCTTAATAAAAGGGGAATTGCTACAAACCAATCTGAAGTTTAATAACATTGAAGATGCGTTACAAACTTATTTTATTAAGACATATCATAAGACCGCTTCTCTTTTTTCCCATTTGTTTGCCTCCATAGCAATAGTTTCTTTTAAAAATGAAAAGATCATTGAACTCTGCTTTAATTTGGGACTCCACATAGGCATGGCATTTCAATTATATGATGATTATTTGGATTACAAGCCAGAAAAAAATACCAACAAACCGATTCTGAACGATTTAAACAACAACATAAAAACAGCACCGTTTCTATTTAGCTATAACTACAACCCCGATGCTGTACTCTCCCTAATAAATAAAAAGAAACTCTCAGATACCGACATTAGCAACATCTTATTTTATATTCATAGCACAAATAGTATGAAAAAAAACGAACTCTGTTCTTTGCTACACATCAAGAGAGCAACAGACATTTTGATATCCATAATCTCCTACTGCAGGACGGCCATAAATGCCGAAAAGGCGAGTTCGCAAAAAAATGACATCAACCAAAGTAAGGAAGCCCTAATTAACTTAATACTAAACATATTGTCGCGCAGTGACAAGTGAGGGGAAAGTCGTCCCTGTCGCGCAGTGCACCATAAAGTGGTGTGTGCGGTAAAAGGAACGGTCAAATGAACGGTCAAATGATCAATAAAATGGAGCGGTCAGAAGAACTGCCAACTAAGCTGCCAAAAAAGCCAAATCAAATGCAACACGCGGAATAAACAGATCCAAGTCGGTTCCATAGTTTGCACCCGATGGACGCGTTGCATGTGGGGGAAGTCCAATTAAGACACTTTCTTTCATAGCAGATACGCGCCTAGGTTACGCCTGTGCCCATTCGATTGCCTTCCGCTGTTCGAATTTTTTTTATATCACTTTTGTTTTTTTTTCACCATCGTCTTCGTCTTCTTCGCCTTCTCCATTTTTTGGTGTCATTCTCGTTCCCGATGGGGATTTTTTTTTGTTTTCTTTGTCTCAATTTAATTCTCACGGGCGCAATCCATCCCGTGTGGGGTTTCCCCGTCCGTGGTTCACGTGTTTATGGTTCACCCGTGTGGAGTTGACCCGCTTGGCTGACCCATCTTAATTTAACTGCCTTTCCTCCCAGTGCCCATTTCGTTTGCCTGTTTTATTCATTTCTATGTTTCCTTATTTGTTCCCTTCTTCTTACTCGACGTGTAACACCCCACTTAGGCGCGGTCACGTCTGCCTATTGCAACTATAATCGGGAAGGAAAAAAAAAAAGAAATAAAATAATAAATTAAACATACGAGGTTGGTGTCCATTTATACGGTTAGACAGAAATGTGCCCCCTTCTTTTCTCCCACCAGATGTTAAAATACAGGTTATTCCTCTTTGCGTCGCGCCAAAATGTCCTTTCCTCGTCTTTGTCAAAAATTTCTATGTCTATTTCGGTCTCTACGCCTCGCCCGCTTGAACACAAAAAGATCATGTTCTTTAGAATAGCTTTGTACAGCCGCAAGAGGTGGGAAGCTTCTTCATTCGAATGAACCAACGCATACGCCTCGTTCTTCGCGCGGTCAACGCGCATGAGGCAGACGTCAACTAAAGGGGCATACATGGAATGAAACTTTCGCGAATGCCTCTACGCATGCATCGCGGACACACAAGGCTTCACGGTTTATGTTTGCCCACGCAGCCAGTTTCAAAAATGGGTAGCAAGGCCAAGAACGGTTTACACGAAAGGTGTGACGCAAGAGCGGAAAAACAAAACTCTCATATGATTGTCTAACGCCCAGAGGAGTACAAACGCATGGGTACCAAACATTCAAATGGGGAATGAGAAGTCAGGGTTGCTCTTGAAGGAAGCTCTGCAAATGCTGCAACAATAAAATAAAGAACTCAGGTTGAGCCTCCTTAGCGATACTTACCCATGTGTCCAAGGAAATTTTGTATCTCCAATTCTCCTTCGAACGGGGCAATGTTCTTTATTTTTACTAAGGAGCCTGTCGCTATAGGGAAAGAAACGGTCATTAAATGTATGTCATATTGTGTAAAAAAAAAAAAAATTCACATCACTTCTTCACACTTTAACCTGACGCTCCGCCAAGAAAAGAAATAGTCACAACAAATGGAAGCGATGGGATAGGGAGAAGAACAAAATTAATCCCCAGGCAGTGCAACACTTATTAAAGGGACATCGCAAACGAATGCGAATATCCCTCATTTCTAATACTTACGCTCAGTCGGAAATAAACGAGACAACTTCTCCATCTTGAAGAAAGAAAAGATCTTCACAGAGAATTGTTTCCTCCACACCCCCATTCTTTTTGTATCTCCAGACTTGGCCCCCCCCCAAAAAAAACGTCCCTTTTTACGCCTCTTTCACACGTATTTCTTCGCAGCGAAGCATGTAATGGCTCGCGCGAAAAATTCGGTATGTAGATATTTGCTCTTGCTCGAGTTACATACAGATCTGCTTCGGAAAAAGCAAAAAGAAAAAATTATCTCACATAAAGGGCCAGTCAAAATTTAGCAGAAAACATAAATTCGGTAAAACTTGGAGAATATACACTAGCGCGATTTATCCGCCTCCTGTTTCCCTTCCTGTTTTTTTCTTTTTTTTCTTTTTTTCCAGTTTCAAATAATCCATGCAATGCCTAGCGCCGAGGCGCACGTATACACATGCTTACAAGAGTACACATTTCCTCATGCCCCGCCGCGCTCTGCCCAAACGGCATGAACAACTATTCAGGTTCATGTGGTCCAAAAGGAAACATATAGAAACATGAATCAATCCATAAGAAGACGCGCGCAATGGGTTCTTCACAATTTCTGTCGCCTTCTTCAAGTTAAAAAAATGACTCATAAAAAAAGCATTCCCACCACTTCGTTATTTCGAAGCATAATTTAATATTTTCCCCCTCCCCCTTTTCCATATTTTTAAAACATACGAATTGTAGGCCCTCTACCTTTTCTACCTGCTGAGTGCTTGTCTCATAATCCATATGGAGTGTACGTAAAATAGCACTACATTTCTGACCCACGGAATTATTATTTTGAAACCCTATCTGAGCAATTCTCCTTCTCGCCCCCCCAGCATACGTTATCTTAGAGAAATACTGTCCCGCGGGCTACGACAGGTTCAATTCCTTCACTGCTGAACCCTCGTTCATGTGCGTATCCGCGTTGGCGTCTAATGCATATGGCTACGCAGCCACAGCAATCGGTGCAGACCTCTACATCACCCCCACTCCCTCTAATCCCAGAATTCTTTCCGTTTTACTTTTCGTGACTGGCGCTTTATCCTTTCTTGCATGCTCCCTAAGAGACCCAGGTACTTTTCTCGATTCCGACAATTTGGATGATCCCCATATAGTGCTACTTCACTTCCTCACACTTTACTTCCTCACTCTTCAACCCTCTCTCATTTTACTGCACAAAAAAAACTGCACCCTAAACTATGCAGGCAGAATATCCCATACCTCCCTCGATAAACACCTGAAATTTTACCCCTATGATGAAGTCATTTTTCACCAAAACGACAAATGCAGCACTTGTCAGATCTTGAAGTAAGGTGAGGAGGGCGCTTGCACATAAAGGCAAAGTGATTGTGCTAAAGTGAAGCATTAGTGAGTTATCTGGGGATCTGTCCTTCAAGAAGTTTACACCTACACCCTACGTAGATAACAATGATGCGCGCCAGAGAGACCCATTCACCAACTGAACATAGAACATAGGAATGGCGCATACAGAATTATGCACATGAAAAATTCGTTCTTTTTCTCAGACCTGCGCGAAGTAAACATTGTAAATATTGCTTGTCATGTATATCTCGCTACGACCACCACTGCTTTCTGTTAAACAATTGTATCGGCGGATATAACAGCATTTATTACCTTGCTTTCATTTTCACAAATGTCACAATTGCCTTTCATTCCTTCTACATAAGTAAATCAACAAAGGGAGAAGATGAGGGGAACTCCAATTGGCATGCACCACTGGCAGTTGTTCGACCCTTTCCAGGTGTGTCTATACTCGTCTTATTCCTTTTTTTCTTCCCCTGTAGCTTTTCGCTGCCTTTATAACATCATCAAACATGAAAACCTTCTGAAAGGTACCAAGACTCGAAAGGGAAGTGGGCCACGAATCGGATGACGCATTCTCATAGGATGGATGGATGGCACACGTTTAACCTTCACCCTTCGTTCACGCACACAGACGGAAATCCTTATACACGCGCGAACGAGCCCCCTTTTTACTTCCCTCTCGCAGCCACGTTTATACACAGGGGGAGCAACGAAGTGATGCCGAAATCTTGCCTAACGATCGCTCGGGTGGGGAAATAAATATACAAACGGGAAAAAGAATAGGCAGCCATCCAGACAAATCGCGCCCGTCCGACATGCAACATTTCTTCCCTCCCCCCCGTTTGCAGTACCTATTTTCCAAATGCAGCCCCACCTTCTCCGTATTTGTGGTATCCCTGCTTAGCGCCCCCCTTTTAGCGCTCCTTTTTTCGAATGAAATTTATTTCAACTTCTGCGTGAACATCACAAACAATGAGAAGACAAAATACGTCAGTTTGAAGGGAGGTACTCCTGTGAACAGGCAGTTTTACAATAAAGGTACGAAGGAACCTCCGGAGGACGACTACACCGGCGCGTTTGCATTCGTGTTGGAAAATTCCCACATATGTGCTATGCAGAATGGCACAGGGCGATGTGATTTTTCTACTTATTTATTTGCTTATTTTATTCTATTTTTTTTCCCCGGTAGGGTTCATAAAAAACGTGCAGGATGTGTTGTTTTACAAAAAAAACGTAGAGGACTTTTTTAAAAAAAATTCATAAGAGCGCAACTGAGTACACTTGCCAGGTTTTCGTGCGTAAAGGTGGCGTTGTCGCAACGAGCGGTGTCGCGTAGTAATCCCGCGCGGATAGCGGCGTATACACGCGTTTATATACACGTGTGTGTGTGCCCCCATGGGGTTGGCCAAACAGGCCTCTTACCACGCCAGTTGAACATTCCCGCGGCCGTGTATTTAACAATGCACGCGAGTAACACACGCGTGGATATATAACCCCGCCCTTAACAAAAAAAAACACTCCCAAACAATTGCAGAACAAAGAATTCGCCGACGGGGGATGGGGAAGGTGTCCCCTCCCCCTTTTGTGACATTTAGCAGAAGGGACTCCTGTGCACAAAGGTTCTGTCCCCTCTACTTTCAACAGATTCGTTAAAAATATTTGTCATTTTCTTCATGTCATCCAAGTGGGCACTAATTTTGGGCTCATTGCTGAACCTGTTTCTGTGTGTGAAGTTATTATGGCTGGTTATTTTGGGAGCACTTGTCATTGCCCTTACGGCATGAGAAGCGTTTTCGTGACACCTGCCCCCCATGCTGTGACGACCCCAATTGGTCAAATTATTTCTCGTTATATTTTGCGTCTTCCTCAAATTAATTATGTCATAAATTAGAACATTTTCTGGACTCTCCAATTCTGCGTTATTATTATTATTATCATACAGAATACAGTTTTTATAATTTCCATGCGAATCGTCATCATCCCCTTCCGTGTTAAAACATTTCTCATTACTTGTATCGGAATATTTGGCCAGTTGCCTGTTTAAGGTAAAACTGCCTTTATTTGAAGAGTCGTTCAAATTTAACTGCCTTATCATATTTTTTACTCTCTTTAGTTTCCTCACGCATTCTTGGTACTTATAAAGTAACAGTTGATAATCCCTACTTAGCAATATTTTGGATTTTTTTTCAAAATTTAGGTCTCTTCTTAACTGTGCTATGGTCTTTAATCTCATTTCGTCCTTTGAAAAGTTTAGTATGTCTGAGATTTTTCCTTTGCCTATTCCTCCGCTTACTCCTCCTCCCTTTCTTAATCCACCATGATAATGCTCAGTCAGCTCGGCTAGTTCATTTTCCTTTTCTTCCAAAAGGAAGTACACCATGTCTCTCTTGATACTACTTGAGGACTGCAAATAGTTTTGAAAAAGGAACCACGAATCATCGTACCTTTGGTTATCACCGTTCTCTTTATCGTCGTTCTCCTTATCGTCGTGCTTTCCTTTATCGTCGTGCTTTCCTTTATCGTCGTGCTTTCCTTTATCGTCGTGCTTTCCTTTATCGTCGTGCTTTCCTTTATCGTCGTGCCTCCGGTTGCGCACTTTTCCGTGGACCTGTTTAGCATAATTCCTTAGCTTATTCATAAAGAAAAAATATTTCAGAAGCAGATCTTTAATCTCTTCAGGAATATAGATAAGCTTCCATAGATTCTTGTTTATCTGTTCAAAGCTGTTAACAAATTGATCGTTTAAAAATAGGAGGCTGAACATTTCGCTTAGAATTAGACACACAACTGTGATTACGTTCTTCTGAACCACTTCTGCATCTTCCTTTTTTACACTATCTATTGCGTATAAGTTTTCCACCTTTTTTGTGTACAAATAGGACCCAATTATTTGGCTTCCTCCCTCGGAGTCACTTTCCTCAATTATTCTCATCACGCGGTAGTTATTTTCTTCCAATGTGTTCACATATTCTGACGCCAGATTCCTCTTCTCTCTCACATCCTGGGGAAACACTTTCTCCTCTGCGACACTCTCCTGTTCATTCGGTAGGCGATCCTTCCTAGACAACCACTTTCCCGATTTCAATTTTTCATTTTTCGCTTTCATTTTCTGATTCATTTTGGTTAGTGCACCAATCTTTTCCGCATTTTCTTTATCCTTAACTTCGAGTTCCTTCAACTGGTTCTGCAGTCCTTTGATCCTTATGTCAGAGCTGTTTTTTTCGTTCAGCTCATTGCTATACAGTAGGGTTAGTCTGTTTATTTCTTCCTTTAGCTGCGCTATTTCGTTTATGTACTCCTTCACTACCAATGCGGAGTCGTCTCCACCGATTGCAACTTCGTTCTTGGGAATACCTGGGTTGTCATTCACCTCCTCTGCTTCGTCCATTTCGTAATTCTCATTTGGGATGCTTAATTTATTTTCTCCATCACGGGTGTGGTCATCACCACTGGGGGGGCTGCTCTTCTTCGCTTCCAACTCTTTATACGTCCCACTTGACGCATCGTAATCTTTGCTCAACGTATCGTGTTTCAATTTTAACGCTTCGAATTGGTTTCTCAAGTCTTTTATCTCGCTAACGTAATTTTCCTTCTCCTTTTCAAGTGCATGAATTGACTCCTTCAATTTTTGTATAACTACTATATTTTGGTTCAGCTTCAACATGTAGTTACTCTCTTTCGTGTATAATTCTTCGTTCATTTGATTCGTGCTGCTTCTCAGTTCCTCCGCTTCTTTCCTCCACGTCTCGGCGTCCGTCTCCCACTTCGCTGCGTCCTCTTTCCACATCTTTGCTTCCCCTTCCCACTTCTCTGCTGTTTCCCTCGATTGTGCTTCTCCTTTCTTCAGTTGTTCCACCTCTTCGCTCAGCTTCGCGATCTCTTCATTTGCTCCCCCCAGTTTGGCGCTCAGCGTGTCCAACTTCTCTCTTTGCTTTTCTTCCACCTCGCCCAGCTTGGCCAAACTGCTGTTCCTCTCAGCTAATTCGTTCTTCACATTTTTCAAATCCATGACCTCGTTCGTCAGGGCGCATATTTTGTCTTTCAAGTCCTCAATAACCTTCGCCTTTTCCTCCACTTCCCTTTTGTATTTGTCCACCTCTTGCTTGTGTCTTCTAGATGCCTTCTCATTTTTATCACTCTCATCATTCTCTGGCTCGTTTCGCCTGAGCTCCAGTTGTATCTCTTTCTCAGTTTTAGAGACCTTTCTTTTTTTCCCTTTTATTTTGCGAAGGGGAAAGTGTAAAAAGGATTTTAAATTGCCCCCTCCTTCCACGTCCGACTCGGAGATTTGTTCCTTGTCGGAGTCACCTCCTGCGTCCCCTTTCTTCGACTCGCTTCTCTCCTTCTCACTGATCCTTTTTCTGCATTCCTCGTCGGCACGTCTCTTATACTCGCTGAGCTGTTCCGAAAGCCTCACAATTTCGTTTTGCTTCTCCAACTTCTCCTGTTCACTCTTAGCCTTCAGCGCGCTAAGCGTCAAATTCAAGCTGTTAATTTGGTCCATGTATGAATTAATTTTCTCCTCGGTTTTGTTTACTTTATAAAACGAAATGGTATCACTCAGGCTATTTATCCTGCCGGTCAACTCGGCGATTGTCTTGTTCGACTCCTCTATCGTTTTTTCCTTCATCGCCAAATCGCTCTTCATTTTGGCTACCTCTTCCCTGTGTTCTTCTTGCACACTTTCTAGTTCTTTCTGTAGCGCCTGTAGTGCTGTATTGTCAGTGGGACTATTAGCGTTATCGGCCGGTTGGACTGTCACAGCAGATTTATTCTCCTCGTCCTCTTCAATCGGCTGTCCTTCATTATGCTGCTCCTCATTTTGCTCCTTCCCGTTCATTGCGCCTTCCCGTTCATTCATTTCCCTTATGTAGTCGCTCACTCTTTCGAGAAGTTCATCCACCGGAACTTCATCGCTGTATGGGAGCTTCACTTTGGAGCAGATATTCCTAAGGAGACCCATTTTGTCATCATACAGCTTGAGGTACTTTTCCTCTGTCTTTAATTTCAACTCCTTCAATTCGTCATTTTTTAAAATTAAAATCTTCTCCTTTTCGTGCGATTCGATGCGTATATTATTTAATTCTTTTTCAAAATATTGCTGCTTCGATTGCAATTCTTCATCATACTGTTTCAGCTTTTTCTCGTAGTCTTCCTTCATTTGGTTGTATTCCTTTTCCTTTCCGCCAAGGACACATTTCAGGTGGTCTAGCTCTTCTCTCACACCTATGCTCACTTGATTGTCTGTATCTTTTAATTTCTCCTTCAGCACGTTTATTTCATTCTTGTAATTATTTTCAATCTCTGTGATGAGTTTTTCCTTGCCTTCCTTTTCTTCGTTGATCGCGTTCATTTGCTCTTTCAGTTTGTTAATCAAGTTATCTGACGAGCTTATTTCATTCTTCAGGGTGTGAATCAGATCGTTCAGTGTGTTTATTTCTCCAGTGAGTCCCTGTTTCTCCATATTTAACGTTGCAATTTCGTTGTTCAACGTGATTATTTTGTTATTTAGCTCCTCCTTCTCGTTGGTCAAGGACTCCTTCTCTTCATTTAGCTTGTTTATCTCTCCACTGAGTGTTTGTTTTTCGTTGCTCAAGAGGTACTTCTCCTCGTGCACTGCATTAATTTGCATGCGCAGTTTGTTTATCTCCATCTCGTAGCCACTTCTCAGTTCTGCCATTTTGCTTTCGCTCTCCTCCATTTCATCTTTCAGATTGTTTATTTCGTTGATATGGCTGTTTTTCATCTCCACACATTCTTTCCGTTTTTCATTCAACTGGCTATTTAGTGTGTTTATTTCCTTTGTGTACTTTTCTTGAATTTCGTGCAACTCCCTTTCCTTAATTTTGAGCAAATCGGTGAGGTTATTCTCCCAACATTTTTCTTCCTTGTCCATCTTTTCTTTATTTTCAACTTGGATGGATGGCTCATCTTGTGCATCCACGTCACCACTTGAGGAACTATATTTGGCGATTTCTTTTTCCTTTTCCTTTATCTGATCCTTTAACAAGCAAATTTCTCCATCGTACGTGTTTCTTAAGTCCAATATTTCTCTCTCCTTCTCCACAAGGGCGCTGCTCAAATCTTTTATTTCTAATTTGTATATCTTTAGCTGACAATCATTCTTCGAGAAGCTACTGCGAAGATCATTCAGTTCGTCTTCCATTTGCAGGAAGTTATTTTCCCTTGTCTCAACTTTTTTTTCTCTCATCTTAACATCATTTAACTTTTGAAGGAGCACATTTTGTTCTTTTTCTAACTCTTTAATTTTTTCTTCGAAATATTTTTCCTTTTCATTTGTCTTCATGTCTAGCAATTTGATTATCTTTCTTTTCACTTCCACATCCTTCCCTAACTGCTCATATATTTTTTCCTTCTCTGTTATCTTTTCGTTAAGAGATTCTATCATTTCGTTTTTTTCCCTTATAAATTCCTTTAGCTCCCTCAGTGTATTTTCCTTTAACGTTACCTTATTGCTGACGTTTTCTAGACACTCTTTTCTGTCTTTAACTTCGTACTTTAGTTTTTCTAGTGAAATTCTAATGTCTGCAATTTCAAAATGGAGTTTTTCTTTTTCTTTATTTTTTTCCAAGTACTCCTCCTGCATGTCATTCATTTTCTCTTCCTTTTTCGAAATGAGTATCTCTCTGTCATTAATTTTTTCTTCTCTCATATTTATGTCCACTTCCTTCTCATTTAGTAGATTTTCCTTCTCATTTAGCAAGCCAATTTTTTCTTTAATAAAATTCTCCTTCTCCTTTAACTCCTTTTCGTATGCCTTATCGACTTGTTTTTCTTTTTCTATTTTTAATTCCTTCTCTAAGTCGCCAATCTTCGTTTCGTAATTCACAATTTTGGTTGACAAGGACGTGATCGATCTTAGGGTTTCCTTTAGTTGTTCTTCCAATTCATAACCTTTATTTTTTTCCATCGCTCTACTGTCATTTCCTTCACTTTTCTCCTCCTCCTCTTCCTCATTATCATCATGCTTGCTCTTCGTTATAATTGCATTGTCAATAATTTTCTTGTACCACGAGTTGCTTTTGTGATCTTTTTTTTCTTCCTCCACATTGGCATCTCCTTCATTGTTTTGTGATTGTCTCCTTAACTTGTCTGAGCTTTCTTCCTTTTTTTTCTTCTTAAATTTAAATACCATTTCGTCTGGGGGGGTCAACTGGTGTGCCAAGTGGGACTATGCGAAGGGGAGAAATCACAACATGCACGTCCAGGGGAGGAGTCACAACATGCACATGCAGCCGAGGTACTCATCATATGCACCTTCACGCAGCCGCGTCTACACACTTCTGATCATATCCTGGTGCAGCTCTGTCTCCTCCTTTCAATCCCTTCCGAACTCTCCTCTACGAAAAAATCGTATAAAATTACTAAAAACTATGTCAGGGGGAAAATGTTAGTACTCAAACAAAAAATAAAATAAAAATGTAAAAAAAAGAGGCCACTTGGGTGGAGTAACCCGGTGGGGCTAAATCGAGGTGGCGTTGCGCCGAAGCGATGGCAGCTTTGGGGAAACAAAAAAAGGGGGAGAATAAGCAAGCAAATCAACGAGTCAAACAAACCGACGGGGCAGACAAACGGAAAACAAATTGACAAACTTTTGCAGCTACGTAGACCTTGCTACAAAAAAAAGGGGAGGTCACTCAATGAAAGCCAGAGATTCACAAAAGTGAGGGAAGAATTGCGCAACGTGTAGGCACCTATTGCCACAAAAATGCCTGCCACGTATGCATATATATTTGTGCACGTGCCCGCTCAGATATCTTCATTTGCATGTACACATTTGTGCACACGGGTAATTCGTGGGGACAGAAATAGGACGGCCAAACGAAGGATGCAGGTTTTCCATTCGGAAAGAAAAAAATGAATAAATGCTAACATAAAATGAGGAGTGATCCTCTAATACATTTATACATTAAAAGATTCGTGAATTTCCATGAAAACAAACAATTCTCATTATGTAGATGACGCGAAAAATTAAAAATTAAAAAGAAAAAAAAAACTTAAACTAAAAAGGGCACAAAAACGAATAAAGTGGCATAAAAATAATAAAATGCAATAAAACGCAGACGATGGGGATTCAAAGAAAAAAGAAATCAAACATATATATCATTTATTACTATATAGTGATAAAACGTGAAAAAGAGAAAAATAAATGTACCATACTGCTAAAGTCGCTGCTGTTATGATATTAGCCAAGTGAACAGCCGAATCTAATCACGCAAAGGGAAAAAGTCGCAAAAAAAAATAAAAATAAAAAAAAAATAAAGCCAAAACTAAGGCAAAAGCTAACGATGAAAGAAAAAAAAAAAACAGGAAAGTTAAGTCCTCGATTCTTTTCAATGCTAAGTTAACTTACACGTAACATCTCACCCCTGGCTATTTTTTCTAAACCCTTTTAATAAACCACTCTACCGAGCGAATAACTGAATAAATGTGTGTAATGGGGCGTACGTAGGTATCCATACTTACTTACTCATTCACAGGGTTAAAAACAATAAACATGAAAATAATGCTACACAACGTCAGCGAACGCAGAGGGACGTGCTTTCGGCACACACCCCTCGCGCATTCCTCGCACATTGTTCACACATTTTTTTGGGCATTTTCTACACTGCGCAAAGTTCACTTCTCGCTAAACTTGGCTCCCAAAAGATTAACAAACAAGTAAAAAAACATTAGTTTCATTTCCACTGCAACCTTTGCATCACAAAAAAAAAAAAAGAAATCACCGAAAAAAACTCATACCAGACAAAAACCTCCCAAAGGCAACATAAAAAAACGTCTCCTGTAACAAAAAAAAAAAAATGTCACATTTTTTTACACGCTTCCTGTGCAACTGCAAGGATTGGGGGTCAGGTGGGTACTTTTGCTGGTCGGCGAAAATATCCTGAAGTACTCAATTCTCTATCTTTGGCAAAAAAAAAAAATTAAGAAATATAATTTCCCCTTTGCAAAAAGGAATTCTTAATTAAATACTTCTTAGCTATGCTAAATTAGGCAACCATGGAAAAAAAAAAAAAAATCCCACCAATGTTCACCCATATTGACGAATTCTACGCCTTCCGTTCATCCAAGTTGACAGTCTTAGCTTTTCAATCTTGGGGATCCTTTGCAAAAAGGCGAGCCTATAGCTACAGAAGAATTACGCCCTTTTCCTGTACATCACGTCTGCACACGCTAAAATACACATATATACAATGCACGCGCATATTTTAGCGGATGTAAGTCGCATCGCTTTTGCTATATTAAAAAGGAAAGGTATATACCACCCCTAACCTTTGGTGTCGTCTTTTCCAGTGAACTTCTCACAAAAAGCGCCCCAACAGGAATAATTATAAACAGGGAAACCCTTTATTCACATAAACGGAAAGAACATTTCCACTGGAAAATTTGACACGTTGCCAAAATATGCACCCCCTTTGGATAAGCACCAAAGAGGGGGTTATTCCACGGTGGGGGACGCACACATATGCTTATACATGTCCATGCCCAGGAAAGCCTTCCCTAAGCGCACTCATGTCACTTCGCAAAAAAAAAAATTGACATTTTCACATGATGAGGATAAAGGTCTCGGAGAATTTACATCTGTACACAAACAAGACTGCATCATTTTAGATAAGTCCCATTCCAAAATAGGAGAAAACTTTCTTTATGTAAGCAAATATAAACCTTTAATTAAAAATGAACTTCTTTTAATTGCAAGGACAAAAGCGTTAAAAATGAAATTTGAAAAAGGTAGCAAGGGGAAAAATAATGCATAACAGAAATGATAATGAGGTACAAACAAAAAAAAAAAAAAAAAAAAAAAAAATTCATTGACACGTACATGCGCTGAAGGTGAATCTAATTAACTCGCATGCGAAAGAATCGCAAAATGCTACGTAGAAAGGACACACACATGGCATCGAATTAGTAAAAAGTAAATTAATGGACATACACAACTAAAACAACTTGCTAGACATAGCATGACATCTTTTAAAAGTGAAAAAGAAAACCCTTTATTTGGAGCACTGGAAAAGGTCTGTGCGGCGGACCACGAAGGAGGGGATATAATGGGAACATGTTCGCGTGGCGCCAGTCGGAACAGGTACACATGGCCCATTCCCATCAGACGAACGGCAATCGCACGACTTGTAAATAACCAATGCACAATACCTTAAAGGAGGGGGACGAAGCAATTCTGTTCGTTGTTTTCAAGCTTTCTTTTTTCCTCTTTCCGTCTCTTCCTCGTTTCCTCTTTTTTTTTTTTTTTTTTCTAACGAGGTAACACGCCCCAATGTCAATGCGTGTTTCTAGGCAGCACCCGGCTGCTTCGCTATGTCCTCCTTTGAATCGAGATAATTTGAGGAAAGGTTTTTCATCCGTTGGACTCCCCCCTCTGAGCATTCTGCGTCACCGTCGTCGTGCACATTTGGCTCTTCCTTCCCCTTTTTGTCTTCTTCCTTGCCGTCTTCTTCGTTTTCAGGTTCCCCCGGACTCCTCCCACTCACGTGGAAGTGTCCCAAAGACCTGCTGTTCTCGTCTCGCAACTTAATTTCGAAGAAGTCAAAGTTCTCTCGTTTTAATTTCTGGTAAAACATTTCCGGTTCGCAGGACTTAGAGTTCAAAGCTTTGTTCCTTCTCCGTCTGTTCTTATCATTAAAGAAAAAGAGATTCTTGAAAAAATTTCGAAAAATATTATTTTTCCGCTTCCCATTGTTCACTTTGAGAATATCCCTAATTTCGAAAATGGAACTCGGTTTCCTCCGTAGGAGTCTCTTCTTCGTTAAAAATTTATGACCAAGTAGATGTGCAACCTTTGCCCTTTTTCCAGCATCATTTTGCAAACAGGACTCGACAAAGAAGCACAACTGTTTGCTAAAACCGGAGCACAGATTAATTTTGGGAGAGGAATCCACAATCTGTTTGATCGATTCTTCAATATCTTTTTTCCCCTTCCATGGCAATGCACACATGACACTTTCGTATATAGTTATTCCTAACGACCAGATGTCTGCTGAGCAGTCATACTTTTCTCTCTTCAAAATTTCTGGAGAAATATAATAAAGAGTTCCCACAATTTCATGCAATTTTAGATCTTCTACCTTTTCGCATGACCCGAAGTCTACTATTTTTGCTACTCCACTTTTCGAAAAGACGATGTTCGTCGGTTTGATGTCCCTATGGACTAAACATAAGGGGCATTCGTTATGCAAATACTTTAACCCCTTTAATACGTCGTCTAGAATATGCACCAACACATCTTCAGTTATCCTTCCACATTTTTTATATAAATCGAATAATGTCCCCCCTGAGAGGAACTCACATACTATGACCAGGTAGCAGGGAGGCCAGAAAAAGGATTCATGGTACTTAACAATATTGGGGTGGTGGCAAATTTGCAAGAAATGCACCTCCTTCATGATTCTCCTCAGACTATTTTTTTTACTTAAATAGCGCAAGTTGATGATCTTCAGGGTCACCAAATTTTCTTCGTCATAGCTATCTAGATCGCTTTCTTTATCGTTGCCCTCATCGCTGTCTTTATCGTTGCCTTCATCGATGCTTTCATCGCGGCCCTTATCGCTGCCTTCATCGCGGCCCTTATCGTTCGTTTGATCGATGCTATCCCCCGCTGCTCCTTCCACTTCTGTGGTCCCCTCGCCTGCTTGGGTTTCCTCTGCCATGTCTGCGTCTTTTTCGGTCTTCTCTTCAAGCTGCTTACCTGTATCATCCCCTTCCTCCCCTCTCCATGCGGAAAACACCACGCCGTGTGCCCCCTTACAAACCACCTTATTAATTTTGTACACGCGAGACCACTTACCCAGTGTATTCTCGCCTAACCACCCCGTGTACTCTTTGTACTCCTTCACAGAACCATACCCATTGTGCACATACAAATTTTTCTTAAAAAACTCCACGGTATCATCTAAAATGAAGTTTATCGTTTCGGCAATCCGCTCGAAATCCTGTAGCATCTCATTTGAGCTTCTTGTGGAATCGCATTTTTGCCTCTTCAAATCACGGTCTTCGCTGCATCCCAAATTGACACTGTTCGCCATTCCTAGCTCTCCATCTTTTCGGCAGAAAAAGGGGTCACTCTGCTCCCTACCAAACAAAGCAACTTTCTGTTCCTCCAAGTTTTCCTGTTCTTCTATCACACTCATTTCGCACACTGCGTCTGTAATGTCGTCCTTTGCAGCGTCGGCGCTAATTTCGAACCTTTCTTCGTCACCCCTTCGCAGTCCGAACTTGTTTTCCTCGGTAAGAGTCACCCCCTTTGCATCATTCACTTCGTCGTTTTGGTTACTCAGTGAACTCATTTGTCTGCCTCCCCCCGGTGATGTCTCTCCGCCGACGAACTCGTTACACGTGTTTCTGCCGCTTCTGCCGTTACTAGAGCTTCTAGCCCTGCTACCCATTTGGCCAATCGCGTCCGTTGCTTCGTCGTCGAATCCTGCACACACGGGCTCCTCCGCTTCGCTTGTGCCACAAATGATCTTATGTACCTCACGAGCTCCATTCTCCGAATTCACTGCAGTCGCCCCATTCTCATTATTCTTGTCCTCCTTACCAGTGCATCCCCCATCGACCGCACCGGCTGCACCTGTTGCACCCCCTGCAACCTTCGCAACTTCCGCATCCGTTTCCGCGACATCCCGCAGTTTCCTTCCCCACGGGGGAAAAACCAACGGGGCCTTATATCTACATTCATACGAAATCGATTCCTGGTTGGCCCCCTCCTCATCACTCATTTTCGCCCCTTCCCAGAAAAAGGGGAAATTTTTAAAAATTGAGAATATCCCATCTTCGCCCCTTATTTTAAAAATCCCACTATACACGGCGTTTTTCCCTTTGGAAAAATAGAACCTTAATGTGTTCCCGTTAAATAAATCATGCTCGCTATGAAAAAAATTAAATCTATCTGCCGGCTCTCCAATGCGGTTATTATTATTGTCACATAATTTTTCCTCTGTTTTCTGCTTCGTCAATTCCTTTACATTTCCGCTATCCTCAGACATCGTTAAATGATATTCCGAATGCGCCCTCTCGAAGTAGGTTCTCCCCATCTCACCCCTTTTCACGTGAATTTCCGATCCGTTTATTGTGGCTGATTGGTCAGCTCTACCTAAGACACAACTTCTGCCATCGTCGCACCCTTTTAAGACATCCTCCTTGTTGTGGTCCTGAGTGTAATTCCCCTCACCGTTAGGCAACAGGGCATAAGAAGTCCTCTCCTCACTAATACCAAACGCTTTATTTTGACTCTTCAAATTGTTCCTACTCCTGTTAATGATAAAATTCTGATTGGTATAGTTCTCACCACTTGTTTTGTTTCTTCTTTCTTTGTAGCAATTCTTAAGAAGGTTGTCCAAGGTAGGTCTCCACTTGTCTTCACTTTTGTTACCATTATGTACATAGGGGTCGCTACTCCCTTTCATTCTGTCATAGTAGAACCCGTTTGAACTTGCCACATCTGATTTTTCTCTCATCTGCGTAGTACAATTAGGGAGAAAATTGCATTCCCCTCCTTCAGCTAACAATTTATTTTTTACAAATTCGTTCACGTGAACATCATTTTTCCGATTAGTAGCCACGGTGGGGCTCATTTCTAGTGGAGCTTCCAGCACGTACACACTTTTATTTCTTATGTGAAACACTTTTCTGTTCGTCATTTTGTTGCCTTTTCCTATTGGAGTAAAGAGGGGGTAGATGGTTCTGCCACTCTTTAATGGAAAGACATCGTTCACACTTTGCTTCTTCCTCCCTCTGCGATGATGTTCGTTTATTTTTTTGTTTTCCAATTCTGACTGAATGCAGGAGTAATCCATTTCGTTTTTCCTATTCGTCGCGAAAACAGATCTGTTAATTCTATCTAATAAGCTTTCCTTCAAAGGGGGGTTATTCCCTCCTTGACCAAATCTTTCTTCACTGTCTCTTTTGTCATCGCAAAAGGGTTCGATCGTCAGATCTTCTCCACCAAAATGGGTGAAGTACATTTGGTTGTTGGTGTTAACTTGAATGTTTTTCCTGGGCTCCCAATTAGGAATACTCATAACACCAGAATTGGTACCATTCAGGCAGAACTCATTTTTGTTGCTCCTAACATGACCACTTCGCATGCTACCATTTCGCATGCCATCATTTCGTTGCTGATTTTTCGACTCTCTGATTATGTTCATTATGTGGTCACTATGATTCGATCTCCTCACCACGGGATGCTGTTGCCCCACGGTCTGAGTTATTTCTACGCGAGTGGTCATCTCGTCATTTGCGGTCACAACGCAATGGTGAAGTGAGCTATAAGCCTCGTTTGTTCTTCTGTCCCCCCCCTTGGCTTCCTTTCCCCCTTTTGGTTCACCCAAGTGGGTATTCCTAAACATGTCATCCACGTGAAATAACTTGTACTGTATTGTCTCCCCCTTCGCAATATTACTCTGTTTTCCTTCTCTTCCGAACTTTACACTGGTAAAATGCAGCATCTTTCCTTCCTTTCCACTCCATGCATTGTCACCATTTTTTTCCTTCTCCCATGATGTCTTATCCGTTTTAATTCCCACCTCACCTGCTACACATGGCTTCTTTTCCACGTCAATATTTACTATGCTGTGCGGTGATGACCTTCCTTCTTTGAGCCTATCCTCCTTTCCTCCATCGATTACGCCGAACTTCCAATTTAAGGGGGACGACTGATGTTCCAGTGTGTGTATTTTATGTGAGTATCCACTTGACAGCACTTTTTCGTGGCCACTGCTTCGCCCCTCATTGAAGTCATATATATACCCACTTACGACAAGGGGGTGTCCTCCCCCCTGCTTCATCGTTAATCTGCTTTCATCGCTCAGCCTATTTGATGACGTCTCCTTTTTCCATGTACCCTCCAAATGGGGGGAAGTGGGCTCCTTTTCACCCCCACACACTATTCCGCCCTTCTCTCTATCGTTCGAAGAATTGCCCCTTCGCCCCCCACTTGGGCACTTCCCATTTGTCTCATTTTTCTCCACAAATATGGACGTAGCCTTTGGGACGGGCAAAAAAGTATTTCTCATATGCAGTATTACACCGTGTTCCTTAGGTAGGTGTTTACTCTTCACATCCCCTTCTTTGTTCACATTCCTACTGCCAATGCTGCAGCTCCTCCTGTTGCTACCCTTCTTACAGGCGTTGTTACGTCTTCTCTTCCTCAAAAAAATCACATTGTTTTTTAAAAAATTTACTGTACTGACATTGGAATATACCTTCTCCGCTCTGTTGATGTGATGAACAAAGCGATAAGTACGAGCATCTGTTCTCATTTTTACCCCATTTGGGGAATGCAACATTTTGTTCTTCTCTATATGGGCGCTGAGTAAAGTTTGTGACTCTGTACCGTCGCCGCGAAATGCATTGTGGATTTGTTCCCTTTTACTTTCCTTTTCGTCTGCATGGGTACTGCCTCCCTGTGCGATAGGATGTCTATTCAAGGTAAGGGCCTCCTTTTCTGTACCTCCCATTTCACCCCCTTCCGGAGATACTATATCAGAACCAATAGACTCACTTTTGCCTTCTACGATAACAGGGTTTATAGCACTCCCATTGTTTATCCCCTTACATGCTTCTCCTTCCACTTTTGAGTGCTCCCAATTTTTCTCTTCGTTTCTATATTCCAAAATGTTGTCATCTGAGTAGTTGCTTCCTATATGGAAATTCCCCACCTTTACCACGTCAAACGTTTCTGCACCTCCCCTGTTTAAATTCCCTATGTGATGGTTCTCCCCCTCGTGGATCCACCCATGTGTTGCACCCTCAGCGACCGATTCGGCACTCTTAACTGTGCTCACATCGGTCTCTTGTCCTTTTGTCCGCTCCTCATTTTCGAGAACTTCATTTTCATCATTCTCTAGTTTGGCTTCCGGACTATCCGTACTATTTCTGCATAGCGAAAAATGGCTGTTATCCCAGTGGGTGACATCCCTCTTCACTAGTGTGTTCCCCAAAGGGGAGTCCTTATACATAGATCCTTCGACACTTTCGTAATTTCTATTCGTGAATTTCCCCCCTTCAGAATTGCTTCCTTCACAGTTTTTCAATTTTGTTTTTGCTAAATTTACCGTTTTACTAATATGACGCTCAAAATGTTGATGAGGAACATCGGGGTAGCAACCTCTGCGATGGCATCCTTTGTGGTAACATGCGAAAGGGTTATTTGACTCATTCAGGGGACTCACCAAGAGATTTGTTTTTCCTTTCTTTTCACAATCAAGAGTGATGTTCCTTTGAGGGAGAGAGTACCTCTTGGCGCTCTTATCCCTTCGAAAGGTGTTATGATCCCAGGCGGGTTCGTGGCTACTGCTCCGAAGAAGTTCGCCAACGGGTGTAATTTTACTTATCACATTCGCTTCTTTCGTCACCGTCGAATGCGTACCTTCATCAGCCTCTTGACTTGTGAGATTTACTCTTAAAGGAGGTGCTTCCTCACTCAATGCTGTTTCTTCGTCTGGGTTGTCTTCCCCATTTCCACGCATTAAGCACTTTTTCTGTCCCACTTTCATCCCCCTCACAAACATGATCGGAACGTTATTCCTCAGGTCATTATGATTCACTTCATGTACTCTTTTCCCTTCCCTTTTAACCGCTTCGTCTGTGTCTAATCGGTTAATCTCCCCATGAGTAAATTTCTTACTCGTTTTTTTTTTTACATACCCCAAGGTGTTTTCCGCTTCAACTGAAAACATATTTTACTTATGTTGTTTGAGTCATTACCCAAATCTCGCATGAGCAGTAGAAAGGGGGTCCTCTGAGCTAATTACAAGTTAACAAAATGAAAAATCTGAGTTGTATGTACAAAACTGCCAACACATACTGCGCTTCGTACGTACATATATAACTTCACGACTGTTCCGCTGTGTCATGTTACCCCTCCCCACAACCACATTTTTAAAAGGAACATTTTGGAATGTCCCACTATCTTTCGTCTACTGAGCACCAATACAATTCAGAAAAAAAAAAAGAAAAAACACGCTCCTGTGTTTTAGCCGCATGGATAATCCTACCAACGTTATTTTCCTCGCCACGTATATTTTCCCTGCAATGTATATCTTCTCAGCAGCGCATAGGATTCTTTACGCAAATGTTTCCTTCTAGCTTCCTCGCGCACAACCATGCAAAAAAA